AAGAGCTCTTTGCTTTACTGTCAGTGATGATCACAGCAAAAAGAGAAACAGACTCCTTTAAATTTAAATTTAAGAGAACAAAGGTTAATTACAGCTACCACTCATTCATTCATTGCTTTTTTCAGGTGACAATAAATGCCCCCTTAACTTCATGCCTGAATGGAGTATGTCTTGCTGACAGCAAGGTTGCACAGATGACCACTACCTTACACCCTCTCACCAGTCACCCTGCTTCTACCCCAGCAAAGGCCTGTTTTCATCTGCAAGGCTCCTCTAACACACCCACATGCAAATGCTTTTGACCTTAATTAAAGCAGTTCACCTCTCTCTGCCTCTAGGGATGGTTTCCTCATAAGGCAGTTGTGTTTAATTAGCATTTGCATAGCATTCTGCTGGTTGCTTTCCTGGAGCGTTGTTCAGTAGGAGCGTGGGATTGCTGAAGCCTGACTGGCAAGCTTTGCGCCCTCCTAATTGACACAGAAGCCAAGTAGAAGTTACACAAGGAAAGAACAGAGAATCGTTAATGATGGATCATTAGCAAGTAGCTCCTTTGAATGAATGTAGATAACTTTATAACTCTATCAAAGTGAAAAGTAGCGTGATGAATTATGCATCAAACAATAAAAGCTCAAGGAAGACACTGGTTTTATAATTGCTGTGCAATTTTCCAGCATGCTCTAGTTTGTAAGATTAATTTTCTTTGGGAAGCATGAAGCATTCTGTCTGTTGCACACCATGTCAATTTTGGTTTTCTCTCTTTAGAGATTTTTTTCTGTGTCTTTCAATATCACTGCAAAAACTCCCAGGGTTTGAGATCTATAATGTTTTATGTTAGCAAAAATTTGCACAAGCAAATGAAAAGTCTATAGTTGCTAAACCATTGAGGGTTTGCTGATTTCTTGGTGCAACGAGCTCCCAGATACACACACCTTAAATAAGATTGCTTTGTATCTTTTCTTTTTAGTAGAAATTGCATAATAGTTCTATGGCCATGTTGAATTTCTAGACTAATAAATCCCTGAAGGGCATTTTTACTTTGAAATTATCGTCACAAGCATTTCAGCTGGCACAGAGATCATTCCTGTGGCTTGCACTACTGCCAATTCTGCTCTCCTAGGGCTCCTACTTGCTCCTAAGAAGACAAATTAATACAAATATTGCCCAGTGATGTCACCTTTCCCTTTAAAATGTACTCGTCTCTCACTGATGTTTCCCTCTGGAAATTGAACTCAGTGTGTTTGAAGTGAGTAGAATCAGGGGAACATGTTAATAGAAAACTTATCCCTGATGTGAACTGCTTCTTAGCTTCCATATTATAGTGGGTGAAAGGGTCTGTGAGAGATCTAATCCATTGGAAAGCCCCAGGGATCAGCTGTGGGATCAACCATTGTAGAATAAATCTCCTTTCTAAAGACTGGATTGATACAAACTCCAAAGCTTCATCCCATGGCTTGTTTCAGCATTTTGCTACCCCTACCATTATAAAGGTTTATTTTTTTGTTTCCTGCTATTTCCTTTGTTGCAATTTAAGTCAAGTATTTCTCATCATGGACATGAAAAAGGATTTCTTTCCCCCTTCCAGGAAGTTTACATGGATTTTGGGGGGCATGGTTAGGGTTTATTTTATCCATGGTTAGTTTTATTTTAGGTAGTGGTGGGGGTTTTATACATTTTTTTGAAAACAGTTTTGAAGTTGTTTTTCTCTAGCCTTTCTCTTTAGGTCCATGATCCCATTTGATCCCAATCTATCATGTTTCCTGTGAAAATTTCTGTTGCTGTCTTGTGGACGCTCTCAGGTATTCCAGATGGCTGTGCAGTGGGGGCCCCACACCAGACACTGCTCCAGCTGTGACTTGCCAGCTCTAACTAGAGCAAAAATGTGTCCTGCAGGCATCTCTCTTGTTTGTACACCCCTGTATGATGCTTGCCTTTTTCGCAACAGCATGATGTTGTTGACTCATCTTCACTTTGTGATCTAGAATAACCCCTAAATATTCCTACTTTCCTGTTTGTCCCCTGCCCTGTATTTATGTAATGAAACATAATTCCTTCCCCTTGACAGTACTGAATTTCACCTCCTTTTATCAGAGCATTTCTCCAGTGTAACCAGGTCATTGTAAAATGTACTTCACAGGAAGTTTTAGCTTTTGAAGTCCTCAGAAAGCTGAGCAGGTAAGATCTGAGTTCCATCAGCCATCCAGGTAAAAATAAACTGATAAGTGCTTCATACTGAACAGATTCCTCTGGAGCTCACTTAAAATGTTCTGTTTTAGAAGATCCCAAGAAGCAATTCTCTGAATGTGATTTCCCTCTCAGTATTGCACCTGGTTTTGGATTTATCTAGACCTTGTTTCTTTAGTCAGTTTATGCAAAATAACAGGGAATTTTCTTCCTGAAAGTCAAATCTTGATTTGGTGTCCTACGGGTTGAAGACTGTGCTGGTCTTTTCTGGGGTAGAGGCAATTTTCTTTACAGTGTCTGGTATGGGACCGTGTTTCAGATTTGTCCTGAATACAGGGTTGATAATATAGAGATTTTTTAAAATTGTTGAGCAGGGCTTTCACAAAGACTTTCTGGCTTCTCATATTGCCACACTGGTAAGACTGGGGGCACATGGGTGATTGAGAGGAGACATGACCAGGACAGGTGACCCCAGCTGACCAGAGGAACATGCCAGATTGTATGACATCAAGCTCTGTATATAAAGTGGGGTAAAGAAGGATGAAGGGGGAACTTCTGGAGTTTTGGCATTTGTCTTCCCAAGTCACTGTTACATGGCCCTGCTCCCCTGGAGCTGGCTGAACACCTGCCTGCCTACAGGAAGTAGAGAATTCTTGTTGTTTATGTGCAAGGCTTTTGCTTTCCTTATTAAACTCTCTTTATCTCACCCTGTGAGTTTTCTACCTTTACCAGTTCTGATTGTCCCTCTGATCCCACTGGTGGGGGACTGAGCAGATGGCTGTGTGGGGCTTGGCTGATGGCTGGAGTTAAGCCATGACAGAGGGTCATCTCACCTGGCTTGATGTCTAGGTGGTAAAGCTCCCCATCTAGGGCACTTGTCTACCCTTTCCTCTGTGGAGAAACACAGGTGATCACAACTCATCTGGCCAGGTTGACTCATTTACCGGTATCTTAGAAGACACTGTAAGTGTGTACTTTCATCTTCAGTATCTCCAAAGGGTGTCTAAGGAACTAAAATTCTATATCTAGATTATTGATATATAAATTTAGATGGGATGTATCTCTCCTCCAGCCCTTTTCCTGGTAGAAAGACAAGAGATCACACACACAATTTGTTCTTAAGAGGTACATGCTGGCTGTTACTCCTCTGCTGAGTATTTTCATTGCGATTATTTTATCCAGTATTGAATGGAACTTGAAGTTAAATTATTTGGTCTGCAATTTCTCAATTGTAACTCCTTTCCTTTTTAAACTCAGAAATGGTATATAGAATCCTGGAATCATCTGGGTTGGAAAAGACTTGTAAGATCAAGTCCAACCATTAGTCCTTCCAGGAGCATACTTGTCAGAAACGTACCAAATCAGCTTGAAAAATACTGTTTTTCTAGGCACCTTTTGTTTTAATTTGTCTTTCCTGGAGGTAAATACTTTACTGTATTAAATATTTGATTACAGTTCATGAAGACTGGCAAAAAATAATAAAATGGCATGTTTTGGCATCCTGACTGACCTTTGCCAGCATCTCTCCTCAAAAAAGTAGTAGCTTCATATAGTAAATTTACCAGTTCATGCTGTGGTTCACTTCTTGCTGGTCAATAGTCTATTCAGAATTAAAACAAATACTGTTCTGGTTTTTAAAATGTTCTTTGTATTTCTTTGCATTTCTAAGCAAAGCTGTAGTTTCATTGATAAAGTTATAATTAAATGTAACCTTTTATGTAAATTCTTTTAATTATGTAATAAAAGCCATTACTATTAATAGAGGAATCCTTTTGCCAATAGCATAAAAATGTTTTCAGTTTTGTATTCAAGAAGAGTTTTCAATTGGTAGTTAAGGAAATTATTGTCCTCTCTTTCTCCATGAGGCAGGTAATATTTCATTGCATGTGCTGAGTGAATACCTCACTTCTGATCCCAGCATGAATTTGTGGCTCATTCTCTTTTCTGAGTCTGGTAGTAAGGACCTAGCTACTTGTCTGCAGGGAGCTACACTGAAATCAGTTCACTACAGAGCACCACTAAAAGATGAGATCTGACTACCTGCAATAGAACAAGACTTCTTATCATTGCCAGCTTCCAGAATTTCACTTTTGAAATTATTCCTGCCAGAGCAAATAAATAATTGTTAATTTTCTTATGGCTACTGTTACTTGTATTTCTAATAAAACATGTAAACCAAACTGGGGAATACCATGTCTATGCATGCTGTCAGTTCTGTCACTGCAGGATAATGGAGCACACTGCAGAGGTATTTGAGCTGCTGCCAGCTGGAGATGGTGCTACCCATTGTCCCTGCACTGCTCTGACAACAGTAAAAGTGTGTTAACATGACATTTAATTGTGTCCTTATGCTTGTGCTGCCTCGCGTTGTAGAAATGTGGGGATTTGTGCATCACATCCTGAGTGGGCTGGGCATTGCTGTTCAGGCAGCAGAGAGTGGAAGACTGGTGACATAATATGACTCAAAGAACCCTGGTATACATATACCCTGGTATACATATACATATACATATACATATACATATACATATACATATACATATACATATCTCTAAAAAATGGGAAGATTTTCATAACATTTCATGAATATCCAGCAATTCTGCATTTAAGTGATCTATTTTAAACTGGTTTATTGGTATATTATTGCAAACTGGAATTTTTTTTTAGTCTGTAATTTCAGACTATAACATTTCTGTGGTAAGGACTGCGATTAGAACTGGTGTGAAAATGAGGTACTTTCCTTTAAACTAACAATTCAATATAAATATGGGTAGTAACTCTGGAAAATAATTTCCCTCCTATTTGTATTTTTTTTCCAGGACCAGGTGTCAGATACAGTGAATTTGTTGTGTCACATCCAAACCCACCTCCACTTGTGGGACAACACACAGTGGAGATACTGAAGAGCATGCTGGGGTATGAGGATGATGCTATAGAAGAACTGCTTTGCAGTGGTGCTGTGGCTCAGCATGAGGTCAGATAAGGAACATTAGCTACATTCCTTCACACTGAGTTCACATTACTTTGTCCTCTCTTTGCTCCCTTCAGTTTCCCTAATGGGACTCAAAAGAGAAGACATAATTTAATTCCTAATTTTCTTCCACGTGTGTTTGTATGATTTTAACACTGATGTATCAAATAAATAATCTCATGCTGTCTGAGTGAAAGATTTTCTTGGGGGGGTTGGGAATAAATGTAATTATACAGTCCTGTGTGACTACTCATTCTCTCTACTTCACATGGAAAATAGAGTCCTTATCATAATTACAGTAATTGCCTAAACATTTGTCCCCAGAAAGACGTGATGTTAGTGAAAAGAAGCAGAAGCTTTAAAATCTTTATACTAGACTCTCCAGTCACAGAAAGCTGCTTTCTTAAGCTGTGTCTTAATAGAAAGTAATTTATTTACAAATTGGTAGTTGATCTGATTGATTTTGAACAGAATTATCCATCCTGAAAACTTTGTTCATATCTATTTTAGATCAAGAGTAGAGTAACCATTGCACATTTTACCTCTATTCCATGGAATTCCAAATTACTAATATGTCATTATATTACATTCCATAGTCGTGACAATCTCAACATGTCAGCAGAAAGAAGCTGAAATTGGCACAGTTCTTCAGTTATCAAAAATACCTGTTCCAAGACCAGTTAAGAGACAAACTGTGGCTGAATAGTCTTCTGTAATTTTATTCAGAAAGGTTCAGGGTACTCTTCATTAAATACTGGTTCACAGAAAACCACCATGCTGAATGTTGAGTACCAAAACTTGCCTGATGGTTCTGTGGGTAGGTACTGATCCCCATCTCTGACTCTAGTTACCAGCCAAACCACCTTCATGATGGAGAAAGCACAGGTTGAAATTTGTACCAAATTTTTGACTCAGTCCAACCTTCATGGTGAAAACCTGGTGAGAGTTGACAGATCTTCTTCAAATTGCATAATACCATGTCCTTCAGTAGGGTTGCTCTTGAGAGTAAGGCACCGTGAAGTGGAAGAAGCTGGAAGAATTTGATCCATGAGAAATAGTGAAGAAAAGATTAAAGAAGAGCCCTTTCTTCTCTATAAACCAGTTTGGCAGATCTTCACTTACAGAAGACATCCCAGGCTCCTGTGTGACAGTATATAATTTACAGCTAAAGTAAACTCAGTGTATGGGAAGGGTTTAACCTTTGTTGTGTGCACACTGGAAGCAAGGCAAAGCCTTTCTATTCCTAGAACTGAATAAAACTAAAATTGACACTCAACATGCAATATCCTTGTTTCTCTCAAAGTATCAGAAACAGGCTGGCATTATAAGTAGCTTGTCACTTTGTTTCCACTCTAACATAGAAGATTGTCTGTATTACATTTGAACTTCACAACTCTGCATTACCTTCTGGGGGAAGAAAAGAGGTTATTACATAATCAGTTGCAGTGGAACCCCACTGTGGTTGCTTATTTTCGAAGCCCAGTGTTTTGGTTCATTTGTTTGCTTGTTTTCTCTGGGTTTTGTGTTCTTCTAATTTTTTTCTGCACTGCATTCCTGGCACCAAACACCATTCTCTATCCATGTGTTAAAGACATCATGAAATCCTGGAAGAGTGACTTCTAAAATAAATATAGAAATAAGTCTGAACTGAGAATTGGGACACCGTAGGGGAAGGACTGAAACTGAATTGGAAGAGATTTTGATATAGTCCACCTTCCTTTTAATCTAAGGGGAACATCCCCTTTTTAATGAGAAAAGCAGAAATTTGAATTCTGCTTCTTATAAAATGGATAATTTGATATTGAACTAAACTTTGTTTACTAATGAAAAACACTGTCAGATAACATTCAGAAATAAATTTCCTGGGTTTACTTTCCAAAGGGTTATTTTCATCACATTTCTAAGAATCACATGTGCAAGGTATAGTAAAATGTTGCTTAATTTTGTTAAAGGATTTTTAAAATATCAAGATTTTTTTCCTGTTCTTTTCCAAGCAATGCAAATAGCTAATCACCATATCCTTAGCTAATTGGCAGGGCTGCTTTGACTTTTAACGCCGTAATGCTGATTTAAATAAGCTGAATATTGGTCTTTAAACTATAAAATAAAAATACTAAAAAAGTATTTTGCGCAGAGTTCACATGCAAACAGTGTTTCCCTTTCTTTTTCTGTTTCGTCATTAGTGTTTTTCCTTTCCAGTTTGCTGTATTGACAGTCAAATGCCTAAAGGGACAACTGGAGACATTACTTTGTCTCACCTCCAGCAGTTACTGCAACAGGACAAATCCTGATACCATTTCTCAGTTTTTAAGTCAAACACACAGAGACTCTTTAATTCAGAAATAAATGGAAGCCTTTAATTAGGAAGCTAGGAAGCCTTTAAATAGGAGTATCTGGAAGCTAGAAATTCCTTTAGCTTCCAACATCTGATCATGAAGTTGTACCCTTTCAAAAGTTTTACTCTTTTGGTTTTGGATGATTTGGAAGACATTTAAATAATTACTATGATAATATTTAAGCTGTTATAATACACTTTCCTTTAAAAAATGAACAAATAAATGCAGAAAAATATATTCAAACAACATTTACTGCACTCTTCCCAAGAATCGTCATGAATAGGTGTCTCTAGAGGTCAGTTGCATTTTGACAATATTGCAATTTCAAAATGGTTTTCTCTTGTACCTCAAAACTTGGAACCAGCCATCACATGGGATTCTAGAACTCATAAACTGAGATCCCTCCACTATCAAGGAAGAAATGTAGCTTGTGATGACTATACACAGCTGCCTCTGGCAATGAATATTTGTTTTTCTCTGCTTAAACTGGAAAGGAATCTTCTGGTGCTGTCATGATGTGAGAGCGTGTGTGGTACTTGCTTTAATTTGGCTTGATTTATACATCACTGTGTTAAAAAATAAAGTGAAGAAAAAGCCCCCAAAAGCAAAAGAGTGATACAGAACACACCTGTTGTCTAGTTCTAAACTGAGTCCACTCACAGGTGTTTTTCAGGAAGCTTTAGCTAGCATTGGAAATGGAGCTTTCCATTTTGACCTGTGTTCTTGATGCCGTGGTCTATGGCCACTTTGGCTCCATTCTTTGCACTTGGGGATCCCATTGTTCTTGTATTATCTTCACTATTAAAAATGTTTCCTCAGCCCTCCTCACATAACTGTCTTACTTTCTTTTCCGTGCAAGCTAATAAAGCTCTGCAGCAGGTATAAATCACCCACAAAACTGCAGAACTGGTCAGGAAGAGTCAAGCAGATTTTGCATAGCCCGAGGATCTCACCAAGGGATACTTTAGAGCATCAAAAGAAAATTCCAATCAAATAAAAGTCAGTAATGGATTATTCTTGCTCCTGCATGGATCTTGTTCCTGGTAACTCTTCCCCAGAACCTTCCCATGCACTTGGGAAGTCCTCGCATTCTTGTCTGCAATGGGTGCTCTGGAACATACAAAAGAAGGTCTTTTTTGGTTAGTGGCCCAGAGGAACAATCTGCTGACGATCAGAAGCTCACCAGCCTCAGCAGTGATCCAGCTGATGTACAAAGGCCAGTGAAGCCATAGTAATATGAAGAGCAGTCTGTAAAAGAGTGTCACTTAATTGTGATGAAGGGAAATGCTCTTTTTCTTCTCAGGTCTATAAAATCAAAATAAAAATGTTATTTTGTAATTTTAATATATTTTAATATATTTAAAAAAATCCAAAACAGAGAAAGGGAAAATATCCTTATCCTTGACCTGCATACAAAATATGAAAATCCTTTTTTTTTTTTAAGTTCATTGAAATAGATTGATGCCTGGTGATATTAATCAGAGTTTTGGTCTTGCTTCTTCAGAAATTAAAGCTTGTCCCAAACATGTCTAGTGACAACATGTTGAGCACAGCAGTCAGAAATATTTCTTCCAGGGAGTGTGCATGTGTACTCAAAAACAGGGGAGAACATTTTCGTTAAATTGCTGTATAGCTCTGCCACTCACAGAGCACTGTAAATCCTCAGCCCTGGTGAACCTGGAGATAAAAGGCAGCTAGGCATCTCTGTAATTGAAATGGTCTTGATTTCTTTTACTGTCTAGATGACAAGACACAGTTAATCCTTTGACCTTCCTAACATTATAACACTGTTCTAAAACATATTTATTCCCCCAAAACATACTAAAATGAATTTAATTTCCAAAAGACAGAGGAAAGTTAAAGTACTTTCAGAGTTCAGGAATGCTGGCACAGCTGCTCACAATTCATATCAGTGACATTAAACAGTGCCAGATACAGTACTTTTCTTAACTGTTTGGACATTGAGTTTAATGTGGCCTGATGAAATGCTAAAGATTATTAGCTGGTGAAAAAAACCCAATGAACCTGAAAGCAGTTGCTGTAGGATCAAGCAACCTCTCTACACAGAGGCCACCATGATACTGGCCAATGTGATTAAAATACAGTGGTAGACAGTGATACAGTAACCTTTTAAAAGCTGGCAATCAATCAATTCAATTACTGTAGGTTTCTGTTATGACTGGAATTTGGAACAGACATGAGAAAAATGCCTGGCATCACATATGTCATGGGACTATGAAACTTTTGAAAGATTATTTTTTTGGCTCCGACTGTACTGAAAAATGAAGGGGGACCCATGCAAGGGGTAAGGTGGAGACAAGCTGTTAATTTTCAGGTTATTTTCTATTCCCTAGAGCTACAGCTAAAAATGAATTAGTAAGTACCAATTAGTTCTTAGTTATCAATAAATTCTTTAAAATTGTAGTGTGAAGACTATACTAAACTGCCTGCCTTAAAAAAAAAAATTCAATATGGTTTAATTTATAGTGAGCAGTGTCACACTGCTTATTTACAAGGTACTCAGGGAGGCAGACTGAGGAGGAGCTGCAACTGCTTCACTGCAATTGCTTCTGTGCATCAGCTATTTCAATATTTGCCTAACAACTACCCCAAGTAGCCAAAAGACCTTTTAACTATAAAAAGAAATTTGAAGATGTGTAACATGGTAGAGGAATGCATATGTAACTCCCATTTCTTAAAGATCCATATTAGGAGAAAGTAAAGTTTCACATTAAAAAGTTGTATATAAAAATGCAGAGCAGTGTGTACATTTCCCACTGAGACTGTCTTCTCCTGGTGGATTGAGCCTTGACTAAAGCAATCATGGGAGAAAACTGACAGTTCTCTGCTAAATTTTTTTTTGGTCTTTTCATTAAAGTCTTCTCTCTCCTAAAGCCAACAGTAAGGACTTTTAGCAGAAAGACAGAAGTACTGATTCAAGAAAGCCACTGCAGAGTTTTCTGAAAGTCACAGTTTAAGTGTCTTATGCTGTCGTGGTTTGACCCGGAAGTGAGTTTCTAGAAAAGTTGTGGTCAAACCAATCAAGTGGCCAGATTTGAAATTATCACCTGTGGTGGCCACTGAAGATCTGAATACGCCTCTGAGAACACACAGGGGTTAAAAGCAGAAGATTCCCAAAAAACGTCCTCCTTTGGATCCGGCAGTGAGTGGAGTCTGAACCTCTCCCCTGCCCAGCTGTGTCTGGGTGGGGGAGGGAAGGCCATGCGGCCTGTGGGGAGGGAGGCCGGAGCCCTGAAAGGTGCAGGGGTGGAAGAGACCTGGGATGTTTAAGCAGCACCCCCGGAGAGAGTGATAGAGACTGTGCTGGCAGCACAGCTGGCCAGAAGTGGGGGATGCGGCGAGAGAAGGTGTCCGGCAGCTGTGGGAGTCCTGGGCAGACAGAGGTGAAGATTTTAATCCCTCGGTAGAATAATGGAAACCTTACAAATTCTGATCCTCCTGAATCAGAATGAGGAGAGAGAGATGAAGCATGACTAAATAGGCAAGTGTGAAGAAAGCGAGTACAAGTGAGAGATGTTAAAAGCAGTAAGAAGAATCCTAAGTAAGAAGAGATGATGGAGTAGCCTTGGGCTAGACTCTTTCTTGTATAGCCATGAACAGACCCATGTTTTCCTGTGACCCAAAGACTGTATTTAAGGGGAGGCAATACCTTAGAGTCAAAAGTGAAGCAGTAG